ACCCTGTAACTGAGAGATAACACCTTCTGCCTTCCACAGGTCTATTGCCAAAGCCAGAAACTTGCTGAAATCAATGCCTGCTTTGCCCAGCTCGCCCTTCAGCCGCGACCGCTCGGAGCGGCTGCCGGCGGCGGCGCACCGCTCAGTGAAGAAGTCCTTGAACTCCTCCCAGAACACGATGGAATGGCAAAAGAACTTGATCTCGTGGGAGTAGCCTGACTGAACGGCGATGGCGACGCGCGCCTGTGGATGTGCTTCACAAAACCTTTCCCACGAGTTGAAGCGCGACTTCAGCTGCTTAGCTTGGTTAGCTGCACCGCTCAATAGCGGCGTTGGACCTAGAGCCTTGCTGCCGGACTGGGCACCATGCTCATGTGTGCTCATGGGGGTTGAGTTCGTTGGAAAAGCGTATTACGGTTGCTGGGATGCCAACAGAACAAACGGGAGGGAGAATGATGCATGATTGAGGATGATGTCCCCAATGACCCTCCAGGTGGGGGGCCATCATCATGCCCATCATGGGGCACATCCTTACCGGGAGGCCTACCTGTTCGGCCAGCAGCCAGACTCAGTTGTCTGCAACAAGAGCACAAACCCAGCTTGTTCTGGTGCATGCTGCACCGAAACCCACAAAAGTCGCACCCTCCAGCACACACACGGCCGTTACCTGCTGCTGCGAGTATTGAGGCGCCCAACGCGTGGTATCTTCAAAGGCGACTTCCCGTTCTGCTGCATCCTGCTATTCAGCAGCTTAACCAGGTCCTGCAGCAGCAGGAACAAATGAACCAGCCGCGTGTGGCATCAAGTCAATACCAATGCCAGCGCCCTCGCCCATCCAACCGCGCGGGCTTGCCAAGTCAGGAAGCAGGCTGCCCAGTCAGCCAGCAACCGAGACCTGCACCAGACCAGCCCAGGCACTTGCCTCAAAGTCCTCGTCATACCGTTCCGACCTGCCGATGAAGTCGACAGCGGGCAGGCCATCCTCCGTGAAGATGCAGGAGTTGGTCTGCGGCTCCAAGTGCTCCAGCACAAATCCGAAACGCTCAACGCAACAGCTTTTAAGGCTGCATGAAAGCCAGGAGGACGGCGGCAGGGGAGAGGTGAAGCGAGCATCCCCTAGGCAGATCCAATCATTGGGTGAAATCCAGGTCGCGCATTCACCTGCGGGGTGAGCCCTCGCAACCCATACACACTCCATGCCGACCCCTGCTGCCCAGGACAGGGCCAACTCACTTTTGCAAGCACACAACAGCGGTCACGCTGGGCGCTGCGGCAAAGCTGGCAAACGATGACCGGCAATTCTGCTTTATTGCTCGCTTGTTGTTGTAATGAAAGCTGCTTATTGCGCGGCTCCAAGGGTTGCGTACAAACGTAAAAACTGCAGGCCGGGATGCAGCAGCCACATGCCAGCTTGTTTGGGGCAGTGGCAGTCACAGGTGTGGTGGCATGGTCCCGCCCCCACACCTTCTCACCCGTGTATTTCTGCCACACTTTCTCCAAAATCTCGGGGTCTGTCAGGTAGCTCATGCACAGCGGCCGCCCACGACACCAATCCTCGCATCGCTTTGGGTCCATCCTGCGGCACGCGCGCGCTCCGCAGCCTTTGCACACGCCAGTCCCCGGACAGCAGCAAGGCAGGCAGGCAGGCAGGCAGGCGGCAAGTACCTGCAAGCCACTGGGTTGTTAGTGATGCCCAGCGTGTTTGCCAGCGTGGTGCCGCCAATTTTGGTAGTGCGCACAAAGATGACGCCCCGGCGGTGGTCAACAAGGTAGTGGCAAGAGGGAACGGGCGACCGCAGCTGAGCGTTGCTGCCGCTCAGCTCGCCCGCCTTCCACCTGCAGGCAAGCAGGCACGCACGCACGTCGCGCGACATACTCTCAGGCTGGCGTGTGTGCTGTGGCCGGCATCGTGAGGCTGAGCACGCTCCAGCCATGCAGCACCTACGGCCCTGGTTCTGGACCTGTGTGCACCGCTGACAGTCCATCGCCATGCAGCATTCCTGTCGCACCCTGCCTGCCACACGATATCACAACTGCAGTGCACAACCAGGCCGCGGTAGGGCTGCCGCCACACCCACCTGCCCGTCATCTCCAGCCACTTCGTGATCTCAGGTGTGATGCTGGGCGGCAGGCCCGCAGGAAGCCAGGGCGACATGTTGACCATGTGTCCCAGCGCGCTGCGCCAGTTGGCCGGCAACCCCGCCTTCTTCTGCCGCCCGTGCACCTGGGCAGGTTGGCTGATGAGCCTGTCAATCTCTTGCCACGTCACTGGGCCCTCTGCGTCCTGTTTGGCTCCCTGCCCATCCATGCTGCGGCTGTTCAAGTCGCTGCCGCTGCTGCCCTCGCTGTCGTCGCTGCCGGCGCGGGCCATGCCGCCGCTACTGCTGCCGCGGCCCTGGGCTGCCGCGGCGCCTTGTGGGGCAAGAGGTGGCGTGCAGAACCGCTTGACCGCGCTCTGCTCCGCGCTCTGCACCGCGCTCTCTTGCTGTGGTGCACCCGAGTTCAGATGCGGGCCGCCCAGCACCATGAAGGATGTTCTGAGCGTGAGAGAGACAGCCAGCATGATTAAACCGGCCACTGCAACCCTGCCAAACGGCAGCTTGCTGCTGGGTTTGAGGGCAACCATGGTGGCGATGTTGCACGCGAGCGGCTGGCTATGATTGTAAAAGCATGGTAAGGAGCTAGTGTGGCGAATTCCCATTCTCCCCAGGCATTGGGGACGCCAGGGCTCCGGCGTGCCACCGCTCTGTACTGCCGCCAGCCTCCGTCCCGGCCGGAGCCGCCGCAACGTGAGGTCTGACAGCCAGCCCGCAGGAATGCACCGAGCAGAGTCTTGCAGCTGCGAGTGATTGTTGTAGACAACACAGTGCCTGCTGCACCCCCCCCAGCTGCAGCCGTCGTCGGCAAACGGGGTGTTGTCCAATCGCGGCCCGCACCGGGTGCTCCCTCAGCCGAGCCTTGGTGTCACAATACGCACCTCTGACCACCACTCTTGCATAACTGCTGCTCCACAACAGGATCTGATTCAATGGCGCTCCTGGCAAGGCACTTGATCAGCTCGCCACCCCCGCATTGACCACGCTCTCGTCGGCAGCGGTAGCACCGTGCTATACGTGACGTCTGCTGGCCTACGGCATGCTGAAGCCCGGGCCAGCTCCATTGGGCCGCCTAGGAGTACATGCAAGCGGCATGTGCAACAAGATCAGTGCGGCGAGTAAAGCACTCAAATTCCTCCGGTGGTTGCATGCAGTACAGGTACCTGCGGAATCGGGTGGTTGGAGCCCACAGCGTGTCTTTCCTGGTAAGTGTGACATGCTTGGATGTGCTGATTCTCTCGAACAATGAAGAAGGAACAGCCGGCTGCTAATAAGCTCAGAGTCGGCGCCTGGCTTGCGCAAGTCGTTGCCACGGTTTTCGTTGCCACGGTGCTTTACCAGTGCGGCCGGCGAGCGGGAGCGGCAAATGCTATAGCCGCGGCAGCGGCGCCGCCACACCTCGCTGGCGGCGTGGCGGGCGCCGGCGCTGGCGCGTTCCCTTCTGGTCAGGTGGACGTGTTCTTCGATATTGCAGCCTACTTGAATCAAACAGGTAAGCCCAAATGAAAGCCCAACAGCAACACGTCACGCACTTGCGCTGTTCACTCTATCTCACCATGCGCAGGACGTGTATCAAAGTGGGCGCCACAGCGCCGGCCCGGCTTCAAGGGCAGCACCAGCCCCAAGCAGGCACTGTATGACAAAATGTGGACAGGGAAGACCGCATACAGGCGCAACCAGTGCTGGGGCTGCAGATTTGCATCAGACATTGTGTCCAAGCTGCAGTTCGATACCGTGCTGGATGCGGGCACAGGTGCCAGGGGCGTGTGTTCCCCAGCTGCAATATCGCAGCGCCGGCCATGCGCCACTTGACTGAACTGTGCTCCGAATGGCTGCTGCTTGCTCCCCTGGGCTTGGATGTTGTACTAAACCCGTGCTGACGTCACTGAACACCTGCTTTGTGTGGCTGGTGCTCCTCTGGTCTTGGCTGATGTGCAGGCAATGGCCAGATGGTACGGTGGATGCGCATGCATGGCAAGGCTGCCTTTGGCATCGAGCTGTCGCCGGCGGTGCTGCAGCGGGATGCTCCTGATTTGCTGAAGGCCGGGCTTGCAGAACAGGGGAGCCTGACAGACTTGCCCTACCTGGGTAAGCACTTGCCGGGCAACAGAGGAGGCGCTGCGCTGGACAGGGCCCTGTTTGGCGTCCACGCGACCGCGTGCAGCCTCAGGGCAGCATCTCACCGCGTCTCATGCCTGCGCTGCAGACAAACAGTTCGACCTGGTGGTGAGCAATGACGTCCTGGAGCACATTCTTCCTGAGCAGGCAGATGCGGTGGTCAAGGAGCTGGTGCGTGTGGCCAAGCGCCACATCATCGTCACCATCTCGCTCAAGTCGCATGGCAATGAGGAGCTGCACACGCTGCTGCGGCCGCGGCACTGGTGGGAGTTCAAATTTCAGCAGTATGGCGCACGCCCCAACCGTGCCATGGTGTGGGCGCTGCAGCAGAAGGAGATTAGGTGTGTACCCATGTGGGTGCTTGGAGACCAGCTGCTGGCTTGAATGCCCTTGCTTCAGCAACTTGTTTTCGCTGTGCAGGTTTTCACGGGAGCAGGGCGAGCTCAGCACATGCCGCATGGAAGGCTCTGACAAGCAAGGCGGCAAGTTTGAGGTCTGCTTGATCAAGATGGTAGGTCTACAGGCTGAGAGCCCCAAACTTCTCCGTCAGACCAGCCAGCGCCCTACTGCATCTGAGTTTACACATGCTGAACACTGCTGGCTGTTCGTCAGGCCAGCTCACCAACCATGCCCTGTGCTTTGTTGCAGCCATGGCTGGTTGGCATCCCAGGCATGGAGGTCCGACAGGTGCGTGCATCCCTGGCAGCAAGGCCCCAGTGTACTAAGTTTGGGATGCATGCGCTTTGCTCTTGTGGCCACAAACCCTGACTGGATCTTCCGACTGCCTTTTCAGATCCGCACCATCACTACCAGCAATGCCGAGGTGGAGCCATGGTTTTTTGCGTTCACGGTGGGAGGAGATGGAGATGGCCAGCCTCACACACAATGACGCAGCATCAACCATTCGAGCATAAGTCACGTCGCCTGCAGTGTGTCGTGCTGTGTTCGGCGGTTGCTCGTGCCAGCACCCGCAAAGTGCTATTAGGACCAGGGTCCTGATTGGGATGTCTCAGCTGTATTATCGGAACCATGCTTCCTGTTGTGGTGCATGTTACAAGGGAATGCTGGCTACCACAATTGCACCAGCAAATTGGCCAGTATCTGCAGGCCAAGCTCATTCCCAGTATCTTTGACATGTAACCCATCTCTGGAGCACCAAGGCAAGCAGTCTGCAGAGAAGGGGCACTTCGGTCATGGTGGAGTGGCAGAGGGTTTGGGCAGCAGCTGCTTGCATGCTGCTTGCCAGCCTGCCGCTGACTCACCCAAGGCAAGGCTGTACAGGTCCAGGTGGTGCGCAGGGCCAGTCGGGTAGATGAAGCCCAGGTCCACAGCCACGCGATTGTACAGGCGGATCCACTCTGCAGGAAGATCCGTGTACGTCGGTGCCTTGAGCGTGTGCCGCGGCGGCGGGGAAACCCAAACCATCAACGTTGTCGAGGGCACCTGTGCTCCCACAGGGGGAGGTGCAGCAATCAGGTTGGAAATGAGTGCAATAGTTCAATCGAGGTGTTCTACCAAGTGGAACTGTTTTGCAATCAGGCATACATGTATCTGCAGCTGCAAGCAGCACAGCGATGAATTGCTGGGCACGCACTCGAGTTCTCAGCGTATTGAGCAGGCCGAGCATCTGAGAAGTGTAATCAGAGATGTTCTTATTCGTAAAGAGATGCCACACCGATGAATCTGCGGCACCAGTAGCAGGCACAGGGAGTCAGCGTGCAGCGCAAAGTGCATGCCTGCATTGCAGACCTCCCCTCCCTAACTCTGCAGCCAAACTCTGTATCTTCTTCTCATGCTCACAGCTAACCCGTGCAGCTCTGCTCACCCATGACTAATAAGTCCGGCCATGGCCCACTCCTGCACGATGCCACACCACGTGTGTATTGTTATCAGCTCTGGCCTGCTGCACCACGAGTGAGGCCCAGTTGCATGCATCCCCACTCTTCCACCATGCGCCTGCACCGCACCATGCTTCCAAGTAGCCCTGGATCTCAGAGGCTAGATGGGTCATGTTGATCGCCAGCGTCACATTGTGAGCTGCAAGGTATTGCCCCTTGTTGTGCTTAGACTGCGGCGCATTGGAGTCCACCTTGGCATAGATATCTCCTGCAAAACAGCAACAACATTGCGTGACAAAGGTGTGGACGGCTGGCATGCAGATCCCACAGCAGCGCTTGCCAGTTTGTTTGCCAGGTTTGTGGTCGGCAGAACGGCCACCTTCAGGCGGATCCCCCTCGCAGACCACCCCACTGCCCCCCCTGCGCACCTCCTAGCGCCATGGCAACCCAGTTGTGAAAGTAGCGCACCTGCAGTAGGCACAAGCAGAAACGGCAGCAGGCCAGTTGTAATGCATAGTTCGCCTCAATTGCCGGCTGTCGCAGCACCCATGGCCTCATGCCACTGATGTCGCACATGCGAGTCGCCGATGAACAACAGCCTGCGATTCCGAAACTTTGCCACGATTTCGCTGCGACTGCGCCGTCGTATTCCACATTCGGGGTGCGGATGCCATGCCCACTGGTATGCGAGGCTCTGCGGGGCACAGGTGAGGAGGAGTGTCAGTCGGGGGCTGTACCAGCAGGCGACCGGGCTGCTGCCGCACCTCATTCCATGCGAGAAACGCGTCAGTTTTGTTCCGCACAGCTATGTTGAGAGGCAGGTCCGAAATGCTGCAGCAGCGGGCTGAGGGCCACAGCTGAGAGGGGCATGCTGCTTTCCATAGATGACGCAACAGGACAGCAGCGGAGGTCTGTATGCCAGCTGCCACAAACATGCTGGGGATGCGACGCATCAGTGCAGCAGCAGGATGAGCCTTGGCGGCCTGCTCACTCTATGCCAGGGGGCGTGCGTTGCCACCATCCATCGCTGACTGCCAGCAGGCAGTCCGTCTGCGGGGAGGCTGTGGCGGGCTTGCGCAGGCCAAACAGCTGCGCGCTGCCCATGTAGGCGGGGTGCAACAGGTAGATGAGGATGACGAGGCACGTGATGAGTGAGATGGCCGAGGAAGTGATGTGCAGCGTGCTGGAAGCTGTGGCCTCCATGGCTACAAACCTGGTAAGGCGGAAGCGGGTAGGTGTAGGTTCAGGCGGGCGGGCGGTGTGGTGCACCGCAGCACACAGCAGCAATACCTCAAATCCCTTCGGGCATTCGCAGCAACATGCTGGCGCACCTCAGGCGGTGTATGGGTGCAAGAAGCCCGGCCCAGCGTGTTGAACGTCCCACCGCTGATCGAGCGTTAGGTGGCAGGGGCGCCTGCAGGTGAAATACAGCCTGCTATGCGCCCCTGCAACTGCTGCAGGCTCTCGTTTGGGAGCGCTGCCTGACAGCGCACCGCGCCGAGGCCTGGGCCAGCAGTAGATGGGTGAAGGTGCAGCAGGTGTGGATGCATCACGCAGAACGCGACAACGAGAACTCTTCGCAGTACTGTTGGCAGCGGCGGTACACCCGCCAGCTGGCGACCATGCGGTCTGAGCAGCATAGGCCAAGCATGTCCATGCCAGTGAGAGGATGCAGTTACAGGCATGCTATTCAGAGTGGGCAGCAGGCGCACGCTCTAGAGATGGCGACAAGTCGGTTGGCAGACGGTTGGCAACTTGGTGCATGAACAACAATGCAGCTAGCAACACGTAATCAGCAGGGGCAGTAGATGCGTGATGAGAATGTTGCTCATGATGCTCGCCCCAGGCACAAATGAACCTCAACAGCGCTTGCCCCACTTGTGTTGTGCATCTTTGTACATCCCCACCAGACGGGTATCCTTCACTCGGCGTCCTTGACAGCCACAAACCGCGCGGGCATGCTGCACTTGGGCCTGGCCAGCGGGAATGACACCCAGGGCTCATCCGGCTGGCGCAGCTCCATGGCATGCCCCCGGAAGATGGCCGCCAGCAGCACCTGCGGAGCAGCAGCAGGCAGCTTTACGACAGGTTGAGACCACAACTCCCCTGGGACTGATGCCCTCCCGCAGAGGCTGATGCCCTCCCCCACACACAACACCCCCACACCCAACACCCCCCTCACAGAAAGGCCCACCTTCATCTCGGTCATCGCCAGCAGCCAGCCCAGGCACAGGCGCTGGCCGCCGCCAAAGGGAATCCAGGCGCCCTGCTTCAGCGCCGCACCGGCCAGCCAGCGCTCAGGCTTGAAGGCCAGCGGCTGCTCCTCGCCCTGCCACCTGCAGGCAAAGCCAGCCATCCAGCCCATCCCAAACATTGCTGCGTGGCCAGCCTGACTGCAGCTCATATTGCTGCACCAAAAGCAGTGCACTTGGGGGGCGCTGACCTGGCATCGGTCAGCAGTGGCTGCGCCAGGCTGCAGGTCATGCCAGTGCCAGCCGGCACTGTGTACCCGCACAGCTCAAAGTCCTGCGGGCCAGGAGGGGCGTGGTGACGTCTGCTGACAGCGGTGCCGACGCGGAGCAGGATGTATAAACTGGCAGCCAGCAGGCGTTGTTGCAATGCACACCTTGGCACCCACCCACCTGCAACGCCACCCGTGAGAAACCGACGACAATGGGGGTGATGCGCAGGGTCTCGCGCACCACCCCGTCTGCATACGGCATGTCATGCAGCGCCGCCTCGGTGATGACAGAGCCATGCTTGGCAACCACATCCGCCTGCAGTAGGCAGTGTCAGCCAGCCAGCAGCAATGGAGACGGCGGAGCTGATGCAGCGGCACCCTCTCCACGAGTGTGTTTTGCATCTGACCACACGTTCATTGCAGTTGCAAGCTGACTGACAGGAGGCAGGCACACTCGCACCTGCTCCCGCCTCAGACGCTCTGCGGCCTCGGGGTGGTTGTGCAGGTGGTGGAAGATGCGGGTGAGGGAAGAGCTGCTGGTGTCGTGCCCCGCAAACAGCAGGGTCAGCACAGTGTCGGCAATTTGCTCCCTGCAGCCAGGTCAGTGAAAGTTGACTTCGAGGCCTTTCCGGGGGGCATGCAGCTGGCTAGCCAGACGTGCCTTCTGCTTGCCTGGTCAGAGTGTTGCCATTCTCGTCCCTGCTGCTCTTTAGAAAGTCCAGAGTGGTGCGCTGCTCTGCAGCAGGCGAGCCCGCATCGCCATTGTGGCCGCTAGCTTCCCCAGGGCTACCAGCCGCCGCTGCTGCATTCCTTTCCTCCAGCAGGTCCAGGCTGGCGTGGATGCGGCGCATCAGCGCCGCCCGCATCTTCATGCCGCGTGCAAAGGCAGTGCCGGGGATGGGCAGTGGGAAGCTGGAGGGGGCAGGCAGGGGTGCAATGGGGCACATTGCCGTTAGGCATTGCTTGTTGTTTGATGAGATTCGCTATCTTTCGTACAAGCGGGTGCGGTCCAAGTGCTGCTGCCTAACTCGCCTGAACAGGCCCTCCAGCCATGTCTTGAACTCTGCGCTGATGGTGGGGAATTGCCGGGGACTGGTCCAGCCATCGTCGAACCCCACAATGATCTCCACCGCAATGCGGAAAGTGAACCACCTGCACAATGCCGTGATTGTGCACACATAAGTGGCGTCAGGCAGGCGGTTTGGTTGCTGCGCCTGAAAGGCCGCGTGCGGCCGACTCGCAGAACAGTCCAAGCATCTCCCCTTACTTCATCTCCTCGTACACCCTGCAGATCGCAAAGGTGGCAAGGCCTGTAAATGTGTGGATGTGGATCAGCATCGTGGCTGACAGCATCAAGAGCAGAAGAAGCCTGTCAGCCAGATGGCAAGGGAGACGCGATGTTTTGCACTCACAGGATGTCGCCATCTGCCGCCCACTTCTGCACCGCCTGCTCCGCAATGGTCTGCATGCGTGGCAAGTAGCCACGGATGGCCCTGGGTGTGAAGGCCGCCTGCGCCAGGCGCCTGCGGAGGGCGGGGAGCAGCAGGATCGACAGAGTCGGTCTCCCTCCCAACCCGGTGGGAAGTGCAAGCCACTAGCAAGCCGGCAAACAGTGAGCACCCGAATCTAGCCCAGAAGCTAGTGCAGCTCACTTGACGCGTGCGTGCTGCTTGCCGCTGATGTTCACCATACCCCAGGGCCCCAGCAACTGCAGCCGCAAAGACAGCAGCGCAGAAGAGTGGCAGCACGGGGGCATCGGCCCAGCGAATATCATGCACATGTGCAGCATGGCTACTGGCATGGGCCCACCTTCCGGGTGCTGCGTGAGTAATAAGCTTTCACTGCAAGCGGCCAATGCATTCAAGTGAACACAACCTTACGGCAGCTGTGAAGTTGCATTTATTATGGTTGGTCCACTGCCGACTCACCGGTGTCACCCTCCCCGTGCAACACTTGCTTGACGGCCTCAAAGCTTCCCACAAAGAGCTTGCGGGGCCCCAGGAAGCGCCAGTAGAAAAGCGGGCCATGTTGGGCGTGCAGCTTGACAAAGTCTGCAGATGGTACTGCTAGGACCTGTCAGCAGCGGTACGCCGCATATTGGGCGCTTAAAATCGCTGCCGCACCCGGAGCCTTGGACTTGGTCTCCCACTGCCTTGGACTCGATCTCCCACTGCGTTTACTCACCTGGGAAGCCCCGCTTGCGCGTCTCTATGATGAGGTCGCTCCAGAAGGGGAAGGGGCTCGGTATGGCATTGCCGCTGTTGCCAATGCGGCAACCGCCACACAGCACAAAGGTAGCAGCCGCGGCTGCCATCAAGGTAACGGCGAAGAGGAACAGAAGCATTGGACCACAGCAGAAGCCGGCAGTGCTTGAGAGGCGAGCAGCCAGTGCTTGAGAGGCGAGCAGCCAGTGCCCCTGGCAGGCACAACAAGCAGGAGAAGGGAGTTGATTACGTGCGACACAGAGACGATAGAGAGGGAGCAAACGAGGAGAAAGTTGTCCAGATGTCTTTGGCACCGACTTTCTTACTGGACACAGACAGCGCACAGCAGCTCACGCCCAACACTGAATGACCAAGCATGCACGATGAAATAAATCTGCAACTCAATCAATCGATCAATCAATCAAAGGCAGCATTCGATGCTACATTAACTCGTGGGCAGCCTGCCTCGCTGTGCTCCTAGCTGCACGCCAGGCAAATGGCACTATCTTCATGCCTCCCCTATTCAACAACAACAAAGCGCGCGGGCATACCGCGCTTGGGCCTGGCAATTGGAAAAAACACCCAGGGCTCATCCGGCTGGCGCAGCTCCACGGCATGCCCCCGGAAGATGACCGCCAGCAGCACCTACAAAGCAGCCGCAAGCAGCCTTGCAACAGGACGAGACCACAACTGTCCCAGAGGCTGATGCCCCTGCCACACACACAACACACCCACACCCAGCAACCCCCTCACAGAAAGGCGCACCTTCATCTCGGTCATTGCCAGCAGCCATCCCAGGCACAGCCGCTGGCCGCCGCCAAAGGGAATCCAGGCGCCCTGCTTCAGCGCCGCACCGGCCAGCCAACGCTCGGGCTTGAAGGCCAGCGGCTGCTCCTCGCCCTGCCATCTGCACAGGCAGCGAGATGCACGAGGTGCAGAGTGTTCCTGAACGTGGAGAAGTCCAACACATGTAGTGTTCGTACAGCATAGGTGGTAAATGAGCACGTGCTGACCTGGCATCAGTCAGCAGCGGCTGCGTCAGGCTGACTTGCAGGGAAGTGCCCTTCTGCACATTGTACCCGCATAGCTCAAAGTCCTGAAAGGAGAGTAGGCACAGCACCGGATTAACGGCTTGCAACCTGAGCCGCAAACTAGCCAGGCGAGGAGGAGGCAGGCCATATCAGGCGGAGAAAATACAGTGCTGAGGTGACCACTTTGCAGCAGCAGGTCCAATTGCACAAAGAGCTGGTCTAAGTCAGTCTGCGGGACCCACCTGCAGCGCCACCCGCAAGGTGGCATTGATGATAGGTGTGATGCGCAGGGTCTCGCGCACCACCCCGTCTGCATACGGCATGTCATGCAGCGCCGCCTCGGTGATGACAGAGCCATGCTTGGCAACCACATCCGCCTGCAGTAGGCAGTGTCAGCCAGCCAGCAGCAATGGAGACGGCGGAGCTGATGTGCAGTGGCAGCCTCTCCACGAGCGTGTTTTGCATCTGACCACACGTTCATTGCAGTTGCAAGCTGACTGACAGGAGGCAGGCACACTCGCACCTGCTCCCGCCTCAGACGCTCTGCGGCCTCGGGGTGGTTGTGCAGGTGGTGGAAGATGCGGGTGAGGGAAGAGCTGCTGGTGTCGTGCCCCGCAAACAGCAGGGTCAGCACAGTGTCGGCAATTTGCTCCCTGCAGCCAGGCAAGTGGCAAACAGAACAGACATGTCAGCAGCCCTTGTCGCCTACCTTTCTTGGACGTTAGCCTCTGGTCTGGCTGCCCCCAGCCAAGGCGCTGGCTTGCGTAGGGCATGGAGGCAAGAGGCAAAAAGTGTGTTGCTTGCCTGGTGAGCCTGTTGCCATCCTCGTCCCTGCTCGCCATCAGCAGGTCCAGCGCAGCAGGCTGCTCGGCGCCAGCAGCATCCTCGTCTCTGCCTGTAGCGGCCTTGCCGCCCTCCCCTGAGCCAGAGTTGCCTCCTGTGGCCCCTGCTGCTGCTGCCGCTGCTGCATTCCTTTCCTCCAGCAGGTCCAAGCTGGCGTGGATGCGGCGCATCAGTGCTGCCCGCATATTCATGCCGCGTGCAAAGGCAGTGCCGGGGATGGGCAGTGGGATGCTGCAGAGTGCAAGGCACAAAATGAGAGCATACAGTATATGTGACTGAAACAAGCGGGTTTGGATCAAAGCTCTTCCATCAGGCTAAGGCAGTCGGCCAGCCCCACCGAACCCGACTCGCCTGAACAGCCCTTTCAGCCAGATTTCAAATTCTTCACTGATGGTGGGGAAATGGTTGGCGTTGGTCCAGCCATCGTCAAATCCCACAATGGTCTCTACCGCAATGCGGAAGGTGAACCACCTGCCCAGGGCGGGATCTTTCAGTGCAGGTGGAAGGCACAGGCAATATCAGAGTGGGCCAGCATCCAAGTGCAGCAGGCTCGCTCCAACCCCCCTCACTTCATCTCCTCGTGCACCCTGCAGATCACATAGGTGGCAGGGCGTGTAGATGTGTGGATCAGCATCGCGGCTGACAGCATCAAGAGCTGAAGACGCCTGTCAGCCGCGATGGCAAGGGAGATGCGATGTTTTGCACTCACAGGATGTCGCCATCTGCTGCCCACTTCTGCACCGCCTGCTCCGCAATGGCCTGCATGCGCGGCAGGTAGCCGCGGATGGCCCTGGGGGTGAAGGCTGCCTGTGCCAGGCGCCTGCGGAGGGCGGGGGGCTGTAGGGGCCGGAGTCAGGGTGACAATGCGTGCATTGCTCGCCGAAGGACAGGGCCCAGCAGATTAGGGAACGGCACAGCACAACTCTGGCACAGGCTCACTTGATGCGGATGTGGTGCTTGCCGCTGATGTTGACCGTCCCCCAGGGACCCAGCAGCTGCAGAGGGAGGTATGCACAAGGACCTGAGAGGCGCACAGTGTATGTGTCACACCAAATGGGAACCAAACTGGCTGTTTGCAGGCAGACCGCCCACCTTGTGCACAGAGGGTGGGTAGTCCGCTTTGACCAGAGACCCCTCCGCATTCAGAAGCTGCTTGACAGCCTCGACCGTGCCAACCATGATCATGCGGCGGCCCAGGAAGCGCCACCAGAACAGCGGGCCGTGCTGGGCGTGCAGTTGGACAACGTCTGCACACGCAGCCGCCCACGGAAGACGTCAGCTGGCACGCCAAGGCCGACAGCCACCCAATTGTGGCCATTCCTCACCGGGGAAGCGGCCAGTGAGCCCCATGTAGACGATGATTTCGCTCCAACAGGGAAACGGGGCCGGTACAGTGGCGCTGCCGCCCGACGCTTCCCGCCCCACCAGCAGCACTACGCCAATGGCGGCCGCCATCAAGGCGGCCGCCACAACCATGCAAAGTTCCATAGCTTGGGTTCTCGATGCCGCCGTCTGTGAGCGCACTCAGGTGACCAGGTGCGATCGCGCCAGAATGCGGCTGGCTGCTCACCTGACCCTGTATCAGTATTGTTGAAGGCAGGCCAATGCCAAAGCCAATGACCAGGCGCTTGTGTTAGAAAATGGCAGCGGCTGCCAAGTGGGCGCCACCCAAGCGCCGCTTTTGGCTTGGCGGCCACACCGTGAAGATGCTCACCACACATTGGAAGTAGCTGGAATGTTTGCATCCCCTTGAGACAGTGCCTTCCCATCTTCGTTCAACACGCCAAACGCGCCCAACCAAGTTACAGGGTGTCCGTCGACCATCACCGCCCGGCTTGCATGTTGCCGCGCATGATGCAGTGCTGCCGCGCTCGCTGCAGGTTGGCCACCCCCTGGGCCCCCTCTACCTCCTGCAGCTCCACTTGGTAGATGCGCGGCCACAGCTTGCCCGTGAGGAACAGCCGCTGCTGCTCTGCATCGTAGGCAATGCCGTTGAGCACAGCCTCCCTGTCGAGCGGCTGCGCCCGCTTGCCCGCCGCCGACGCGTCGGCCGCCGCCGCATCCTCCGCTCTCCGCCGCAGGCTGCCCAGCAGCACCCAGCCCACCACCTCGCCGCTCTCAGGGTCTATCTGGGCGATGCAGTCGGTGTGCCAGATGTTGGCCCACACCAGCCCCTCCACAAACTCCAGCTCATTCAGCCATGGCACCGGCGTGCCCGCATCTGCAGCAGGCGACAGGCACACAGCTCGCGCGCTGGGACGCATGCCCCACTTGACGGCTTCACGGCTGGCAGCTGCACCCAACTCTGCTGGCAACAGGCCTGCGCCCAACCCCAACCCCACCCCTGGCTAAGCTCGCCAGCCCGCCCGCCAGCCGCCGCCGCCGCAAGGTTCGCCGCTCACCCTTGACCGCCACCTGGCGCACGCGCTTCATCCCCGCCGCCGGGTCCACCCACGTCAGGCGCTCACTGGAGTCGCCCACCACCAGGTGCGTGCCGTCGCTGGTGATGCCCCAGCCGTCGGCCAGCGGCGTCTCCAGCTGCTGCACATCGTCAAAGTCGCTCACGGCGTAGCTCCAGGTGCGGGGCGACATCCACGTTATCTGGTACAGCCTGCGCAGGGCAGAGGCAGCGTGGCGGCAGTGGCGGCAGGGGGCAGGCGAGTCGGCTGGCAGCGTGATGCCAGGGCATCGGAAACATCGGGTGGTCCGGCACGCACGAGCGAGACTCAAACCTCAACCTCTGTGGCTGGTTGCTGCTGCTGTGCCAGGATCTACAAAATCCAGATTGCAGGCAGAGCATCCGCAGCGGGCGGCCACACCTGTCGCCGTGCCGCGTCACACCTTCTCCAAAGTCCTCCTTTGGCAGCTTCTTGCTGCGCAGCACCTTGCCGCTCTTGAGCTCCACCTCACGAACAGTCGACCTGCCATTCATGCCGGTGGACTCCCACAGTATATCTCTGCAAGATGTGCAGTGCACCAGAAGTTTTCGAGGGGAGCGCAGCACAAGCAGCACACCATGGTGGCACTCGTACGTCGTTGCGACTGCTGCCGCCTGTCCCTGCCACCGCTCAACTGCTTGCAGCTGCCCCACCTGCACTTCTTCTGTTTGTTTGCGCTGCCCTCGCATATGCGATCATACTGCAAGCCTTGGGTGAAGGCCGCCGGGTCGTGCGGGAACTCCTTGACCACCTTGAAATTGAACACACGAGGCTGGCCATCCGCCCGCCGTGCCGCCGCCGCTCGCACTGCCGAGCTGCCGCGGCGGCGCGCGCCCTCCCCTGCCGCGTTCTTGACCTTGGCCCCTCTGCCGCCGTCTTCGCTCTTGCCGCTGCTCAGCACGACGAAGAAGAAAAACAGCCCCACAAAACACTGCACGACAGTGGCAAGGAGGGCAGCAGCTATTGGCAGCCGACGCGGTGGGCGTGGCGGCGGCCCACAGCAGCCAGGCACCGTGCGGCCGCATAGCTGGGTGCATGTCCTGGGCCCACTGACGATCAAAAGGGAGAACAGCGCAGCCCGCTCACGAGTGCCACAGTGATGGGCAGGCGGTATTGCCCGCGTCTCCGTTTTTTTGGAACTCTGGCTACCGGGGGTGGCACTCCTTTGCCCATTTCAAGGTCTGGCATAGGGGCACGATGTGATGCGTTCAGCACTGCACAGAAACAGAAAGCTGCGTTGATTCTACATTCGAAACAAAGAGCAGCACTTTCTGTGATATAGGTTGACAAAAAGTGAGCTCGGGTGCAAGGCAGACAGCGCGGGACAGGCGCCTGCGCAGCGTCCCGCCGCCCGCCAACCGCCTGCTCCCACGCCTGGAGTTGGTGATCCTGGGGCGCAAATACATAACAGGGACAGGCTACGCTCATCACTCTGCTATGCGGTAAGCCAGTGCAAAATCGAGCGCAGGAGCAAAGCAAATCAAGTGCTGCCGAGAGAGACTGCCAAGTGCGCGAGTATTGCACAATGGGAGGAAAAAGGGGACGACCGCCGCTGCCATTTGGCGCTGCTGTTTGACCTTGTGCGCGCCCTGCGCTGGGCAGCAGTAGCAGGCGCGGGCGTGTTGAGCGGGCGGCTGCCTGGCGGGCATGCCAACCATCACCTGCCGCCCCGTGCCCGATCAAGCCGCCGCAGTCCAGCGCAGGTGCGAGCTGTTGCTGCACCGCCGCTCAGGCAGCCAGAGTGAGTAACACGCTGCCGTCTGCTGCCACAGACAGCTTGACCGACACCAGGCCGCCGTTGGCAGCGGGGGTGGGGGCCTCGCCCTCGTCCTCCGCCGCAGCCACGGCAGCGGCCACGGCGGCGGCGGCCACAGCGGCGGAGGCTGCCGAGCGCTCCTGCGTGACCTCGCCCTCCTCCACAGGGGCCTCCTCGGCTACTGGCTCCTCCTCCTCTGGCTCCGACTCTGCCTCGCTGGCAGCGGCAGCAGCCGGCACGGGCGCGCCGCCAATGCTGGGCCAGCTGGCTGCATCATCCAGCTTGGGTGGCTCAGCCTTGCTGCCCTTCTTGGGCTTTGGCGCAGGCGCGCCCTGCAGCAACAGCAGCCAGGCGCAGGCCAGGGCCATCAGCATCAGCAAATGACGATTTCATACAACAGATCAAGCCGATGGCATGACAAGGGGCAAAGGGCTGAGAAGAGCCGCCAGCACACCAACCTACCTCAGCGGGCGCCTCTGGTGCAACATCCTGCGCGTCCTCGACGGGTGCGGCAGGCTGCGCGGGTGTGGGGCGCTCCTTTGCCTCCTGTCGCCTGCAGGCCACAACCATCCGCATTGCGCTTTCAACATTCTGAGTCTGCTGCGTTCCCGGCCTCGTAAACAGTGTGCCCCGTGTTTGCAGCGGCCAACCAGGTCAGCCTCCTATTCTCCCACCATTTGTGTACATGGGATGCATATACGCATGTCCCCAACCTCCGCCACCCTCACCGTTGCAGGTAGTGGTCCTTCTTGGCCGCCACCTCGCCCAGCAGGGGAGCCACCTTGTCGCTGGTGATGGGCACCTCCAGCTTCAGCGTAGCAAACGCCTCCAGGATGTCCAGGCTGTGGCTCAGCTTCTCGGGGCCCGCGGCCTTCTTCTCCTCTGCAGGCAGCACAGGCGCAGGCGCAGGGGCAGGCCACTGGGTCAGGCAGGGCGCCGGCACAAGCGGCTCGCCATCGGTTGCTGGCAAAGGAGCGGGTGCTTCGTCCCGTACACCATGTCGCAGCGCCTGCGGCATGCAGAACTGCCAGCAGCACGCACCCTTTTTGTTCTTGCCCTTGCCCTTGCCGCCCTTCTTGCCGCCCAGCAGCCAGGCATCATCTTCCTCAATCGGCTTTTTCTGCGGAGAGGAGGCAAGCGTGCAGGTGGCGACAGAGGAGCCTCAGCATGTGCCGCCATTGTTACAGAGGAGCGCAAGTTGAACACTGCACGACCCATGCCAGGCGCGATCGAAGCAGCCAGCATAGCAGCGCGCAGGGAGCAACGCAGCAGCATCCACAACGATGGACCCAGCAGCAGCACACCAGCAGCAGCAGCAGCAGCAACGGCAGCGGCCACAGTCAGCGGCAGCGCACCGCAAACGGCTTGAACCCCTCCAAAGCGCCCGACAGGTCCTTCTGCTCCACCTCTGCAGCCGCCTCCTCCGCCACCACAAACTTGCGCAGGTAGCTGGTCAGCTGGTCGCACAGCGTGACCTCCTTGTCAAACGGCTCAGGGGCCTGGTCGGCCAGCCGCGCTGCGGGCAGAGGCAGCCGGGCAAGAGGAGCAGGCGGCTCAGTTGCCTCTGCATGCCGCGCAAGCTGCTCTAAACAGCACGAGGTGCAGGTGCACGCCCACGCGCAACCAACTTCCCGCCCCGCGCAAGAAGGGACCCTTGGCGCCAGTGCCCCAGGCCCTGTTCCCCTGAAGCGCCCGCGCACCCGCGCGCTCCGCATCGCGCTCCGCCTTCTGCTTCAGGTAATCCTCCTGCCGCTTCTTGCGGTCCTCCTGCAGCTGCACCCGGAACAGCGCGTTCTGCTCCTTGTACGCCGCCCACTGGCCGTCCAGCTCGCCGCGCAGGTCCTGGATCTTCTGGTACGCAGCCTTGCAGATCTCCCTGCAGGCAGGTGGGGAGTTGGGTGGGCACAGGCAAGGGTAAGGCACAGATGTGGAGGAGGAAAGGAATGAGGGTCGCGTACACGCATTATGAACACGACGCGACAGCTCCCGAGCGCCTGCACCGCTGCCTCCGGGGTCAAGGAGAGTGCCGACGCACCTGCACTCGTCCCGCTCCTGGATGAGCCCCGGGATGTCGGAGCCCTGCTCCGCCTCCTTGGCCCGCATGTCGGCCAGCTGCTGCCGCAGGACATCCTCCTGCGCCTTGATCTGCGGCCATGGTACAGCAGGCAGGGCGGGGTGGGCAGGTAGGTTGGCACCCATGCTTCGGGGCCATCCCGTGCAGCCTCCAAGGCTATGCTAGAAGGGTACCTCAAAGTGCTAGGCTGGCAGCCCGCAGGCCAACAACCACCTCCTACTAGCGTGGAAAACACATATCGCTACCCCCGCCCCGCAAACACCAGGAAATGGTGTTCTCCACCGTCCAATGCTCCCCTCTCCCTGCACCTTGTCGATGGCATCGTCGATGCCCTTGATGCCATCCCGCAGCCCATCCACCGCGCTGCTGTCCGCTTCCAGCTGTGTCACCTTGCTGGTCAGCTCGCCAATGGTGCTGCAGGCGGACAGGGCTGAACACCATCAGGCAGCGCATGGCGAGGGCACACCGGCACGCCCGGCCCAGCTCCAAAGCATGCAGCTTCTCTTTTCTTGCGATTCCTGGACTTGCTAGACAGCAGGCTGCCATTTCCACACTGCGTCCTCCTCCCTCGGCATCTGCGGACCTTTGCTGCCAAGCTCATCAAGGAGACGCGCTGTAGCACATCACAGCGCACCACAACGCATGCGCACCTGCGGCTCTTCTTCAGCGCCTTGATCTGTTCCAACACTTTCTTCTCCTCATTCAGGCTCAGGCTGTCGTGCTGGATGCGGTACTCCAGCTCAGCGATGTGCGTGTCAATGTCCTCCACTGCGGCATGGCGGAGTTGGCGGCAAAGCAACCAAACAACACAGGTCGAGCTCTGCGCAGAGCAGTTCCTGTGCTTTCAGCTGCGCTCCAGATTCAAGCTGCCAGCTCGCTGCACCCAGCGTTCCCAGTGTTCAACACATTACCACCAACCCCAATGCCAATTGCCATCGCTCAGCACCCCACCTTTGGTGAACTTCATGCTGCCGCGCAGCTCCTTCATCGAAGCGCGGGCGCTTTCACGCGCCTTGGAAGCCGAATCCAGCTGCGACCGAAGCTGCGTCTTCTGAGCCTGCAGCGCCACAAGCGGGAGCGTATGGCACACAGGCATAGTGTGGGCGAGGGCCGGCAGCGCAGCGGGAAGGGGGCGCAAGGAGTGACCGGTCACTGCTGCAGGTTGACCGCGGGCTTGAAGGCAGGGTTTGACTTTGGGGACACGCCCGCCTAGTAGGCTGCAGCCTTTTCAGGCCACACGGGTGCCATGCGGCGGCTGCTGCGGACACACACCAGCCCACAGCCGCGGACGGGCACATGGTGCAGTACGGCAGCGGCGGCGGGCGATGGCGGCGGCGGCGGCTGGGCGCGCACCACCAGCGTCTGAAATTGGCCCCGCAACTCGGCCAGCTTGTTCTTCACGGTCTGCTGCTCGCTGGAGCCCTTCCCCTTGCCCGAACGCTTCCCATCGATTATCTCCTTGATCTCCTCGATGCGCCGCTTGTTCTTGATGACTGAATGCAGGGCAAGCCGGTCACTGCTCAGCACAGCCGCGCTGGACACAAGTGGGGGGCACGCGGTGGCACTCACTGGACTGCTGGAGGACATCCACCGCCGCCTTGATCTCGGTGTCATCAGGGCGCACGGGACGTTTCACCCGCTCCCCAGGGGCCAGCTTGGGCTTGCTCTCCTCGCCATCCGCGGGCTGCTGCTCCTCCGGCTCGGCTGCAGCGGGCGCCTCCACTGTAACCTCTTCAGAAGACATGGCGGGCAATTGGGAAGGGGGCACCGCCAGGGCGGCCAAAATGCTATGGGCACTGCCCATGCTGCCTTCTTCCGGCTACCTGCATGCGCCTCGGGAGCTTTGGGCAGCTGCTGTCGCCTCCAACGTCCTCCCGCAATCGTCCATCCGCTGCTGCGAGCCCTGCCGACACCCAGGCCGGTTGCAGACAGCTACTCTGCCTGGCGGCCTCTGCCACGCCCAGCATCCAAGATCGTAGGGAGCTGCGCACGGAGTGCACCGAGGAATGCAGGGCATGGGCGCGGCGGTGCAGACCATACATGCGGCGCAACATTTGGCGGCAGCGGCAATGTCGGGGCGGCAACTCCAAGGCCGCTGCCCGCCGCCGCAGCTGCAGCAGCACATGGGCACGCTGAGGGCCAGACAACCAGCCCGGCTGGCAGGTACGCAAAGCTGGTATGACAGGCATGCCAGACGGGCCGCCTCCAGGCTGCTCCGTTGCCCGTTTTCTAGATGCTGGTTTCTCACACGGAACGAAGTGCACTTGCTGCAGTTGTGCGTAGTGCAGCACCCGGCAACGGCAGCACCAGCAGCAGCAATGGCACTAGCGAGCCGGTGGCGTCCACGCGCGTGCGCCGGGGAGAGGCGCCACCCCCGTTGCCGCCCGCCACGCTGAAGCAGGAGGCGACAGCCAGCAACCGTGAGGTTTCTGACAAGCTGGTGGAGGTTTTTCGCGCCAAGAAGCCAGCCGAGTGGCGCAAGCTCATCGCCTACAGCAAGCAATGGCCCATGCTGGCTCAGGGGGTGCTGGACAGGTGCGATACGGGTTGCTTGTAAGCTGCCCTGATGGTTCGTTGCTTTCTTGTTTGCTGGTGTGCACTTGAGTGTATCAAGCGACTAGGTGGACTGCGCCCCGCTGGATGGTGCACAGTGCGCAAAGCAGTGACCGGGGAGCTGCGCTGCATGCAGGATTGAAGAGCGGGCGGCGGCTGCCGAGGCGGTGGCGGACGAGGAGGAGCAGCTGGCTCTGCGCAAGCTGGGCCGCCGCCTGGCCACGGTGCACGAGGAGCTGTCGGTGTACCAGCAGCTAGTCGACAAGTTCAGGTGGGCAGGCAGGAGGTGGGGGGCAGGGACAGTGGGTGGGCTCACGGCGGCCGCTCCCCAGGCATCGCCAGGTGCAGACAGCTGCAAGAGCGGAGCGCTGGGCACGTGGGGTGGGGTGTGGTGGTGGGGAGCGCTGAAGTGTCGTTGCGCGCCGAACCCCTGCCTGCCTCTCGCTTCTTGCCATGCCCCTTGAGAGCTCAGCGCGCTCACACCTTCCATCCCTGCCTGCCCCCTGCCTGGGCTTTTGTGCGTGTGTGCAGGGCGGCATCCAGCAGCGACTGGGAGGGCATGGTGAGCCTGAACCGCACCTCTATGGGCCAGGAGTTTTTCAAGTACCTCGACCTGCGCATCAGGTGAGCCCCACGGCGTCACGCTGCTAACCCTTGCGTTGGCAGTGCCGCAAGGCTAAAGCAATTTAGCTGGTGGCGGGGCAGCAAGGCAGAGGGCGTTTGGGGGTCTGACCCAGGCGCCATTTGAGTGCCTCTTGTTGTTGGCGTGGATACCTGGCCTGGCTTGCGCTGACCTGACCTGCATTGTGCCTCTGGACCCCACCCGCTGTGCCTGCTGCCAGGGCGGCGCACGAGGGCAAGAAGGATCAGGAGGCTCTGGTGGCACTGGCTGCACAGCTGGCAGCGCTGGTGGAGGCGTATGATCGGGTGATGGCCGACGAGCGGGCTCTGGGGGAAGCGGCCGAGAGCTTTGGCAGCCTGCTGGAGGTGGGGAGCCTGGAAGAGGCGGACAAGCGCATTGACGAGCTGGCAGCCAGCGGGAAGCTGGACCCCGCCCTGCTGCTCATGATGGCCAAGGCGTATGCCGGCTCCAAGGAGACGGATGCGACAAAGGAGGAGGTGCGGGGGACCGGGGGCGGAGCTGGCAGTGGATGGTTGTTGTGGTGGCTGGTGGTGTTTGTGGTGGTTTGTGTTTATGCACGGCAGCAGCCAACAACAGACGAACTTTCGAACGGGCAGCAAGTCCGGCTTCGCACCACCTCCCCCACCTTCACTCTGCTCCATGCCGCAGGTCAAAGACATCATGGCGCATCTCTATTTCAAAGCCAAGGAGAGCTTTGCGCAGCAGGCGCCCAAGGAGGTGCGCTCTTGGTCGGGGGGCCGCAGCCTGTGGCATCGGGAGCGAAGTCAATGTGCCAGGGAGGTTCCCAGGAGTTGCCTGCCGTGGCTGTGGCATTCTTCAGCGCCTGATTTGTGTTGTGGTGGCACCAAGGATGGCTTTTTATCACCAGGGTTGACCTTGGCCCGGCCGCAGGTGCGCATCCTCAAGTACCTCCTCACCATAGAGAGCGAGCGGGACCGGGCAGAGCTGCTGGCGCAGGCGTTCCAGCCGGGTGCGGCCTGCTGCCGCCTAGGGCCGCTGCTTGGCCCTGGCTGCCCTCTCCTGGAACCTCCTGCTGAGCGAGAGCTGGGCAATCGCTAACAGCCCGCGTGGCTGGTACATCACTTCCTCATTTACTGCCGCCGCCGAGTCTGCTTGCCGGTCCTTTGATTGTGCCCATCTGTGCACATCGCTGCTGCCGTTCCTGCCACTGCTGGTGGTGCAGGGCCGCAGCTGCAGGCGGGCGAGGTGGACTACCTGTGCACCACGCCCCCCGAGCTGCTCAACACCATTGAGAACGTGCTGACACTGTACGACACCAGCCGCAGCAGGGGCACGATGGCGGGGGAGGCGGCATCGCTGATGAGCCCAGAGGCAAGCAGGAGGGGCAGGGACAGGCTGCGAAGCTCGAGTGTAGCCCAACTGCCTGCAGCACATACACGGCCTTGCTGGCCATCTTCAGCTCGCTGCTGTTGTCATTGTTTGCCGTACAAGGCATGCCATGCTGGAACACTGCCCCGCGTGTTGTGGTTTGCTTTGTGCAGGTCATCGAGCGGCTCAGAGCACTGCAGAAGCAGATCAGGCGACAGTACATGTGAGGGGGCGCCGATGGGCGGCCTCATGTCGAGCGATGTGCCGTACACTATTCATACTGCCCAGTTGCCCGCATTTTATTCAAACACTCGCGTGCGCCATCATACAGCCTGCCCCCGCTGGCTGGGGCAGGGCTGTTCCGGCTGGTGCCATGCCGCACCTGTTCACCTGAAATGCCAACCCTCTCTACATCACATGTGTGTAATGGCAAGCTTCACAGCAGTAGTCATGAATGATGGCAGATGATGTGTTACCCCCTGATGTGAAACTGACCGCTGTCGCCAACGAGAGCGGCGCAGAACATTTGTGTCGCGGCGCAGTGCATTGCCCTCCAGTCTGCCGTACTCGTGCTGCTGCTATCGCGGCCATGCACCTTGCTGCTCTGCAATGCTGCTGCGACGGGCGATGAAAGTGAGACTGATGCCGCAGCCCGCGAGTCCTCGCAGCCTAGCAGAGCGCCTGCTGCTGCTAGCATGGGCCGGGCTGCTGTGCGCTGTGCTGGCAGAGTTTCACGGAGCGCGCACCTGCAGCACCGCCGCGCAGCTAGGGCAACCTGGCGGCGGCAGCAGCACGGTGGCGGCAGCGGTTAACCCGCTGTTGGAGCCTGACAGCGGTGCTGGCGATGGCAGTGCTGGCCGCGTGCAGCCTGGGGAGCCCACCCGGTCGCTGGCTGAAGGCAGCGGCAGCGCTGATGCCCCTGGCGCCAGCAACGGCCTGACGTGGCAGCAGCTGGACGAGCTCATTCACCAGCCCGCGGGGCTGCACGGGCGGCTGAAGAAGGGCGGCATGCCTGCCGACTGGCCGAAGCTGCTGGCCCACATGACCAACAAGAATGCACAGCTGCACGGCGTGCCGGAGTTCATGAGCCAGGCCGTGTTCCGATGGTTTGCCGCCGCCTACACGTGAGTGAGATGAGCGGCCGCAGCTGGCGGCTGACGACTGCGCCTGCCGCTGCATCCACGCGTTGCCACAGCAGCCATTGCCTGGCCCTTGTGGGACAGCCAACGCACGGGCTGCCTGCCTCCTCCGTCACGGCCTGCCGACTCACGGCCCGTGCTCGTGCCGCGCTGCCGCACCTTCTCCATCCCCCGGCACGTCGGCGCAGGTACAACAAGAGCGAGGGGGGCGATGGTCGGTCGCTGCAGTCTCCGGTACCGCCCTGCCACTTCTACGTGGACCACAAGTACCGCATCCTGTACGTGCGCAGCACCAAGACAGCCTCCACATCCATCAGCTCCACGCTGGGCATGAAGGAGAACCCAAAGACGTGCAAGTGAGTCAGCCCAGCAAGTGCTGGCTGTGTGCCATGTGTGCTGTGGTGTGTATGTGTACACGCCGCAGGTGTGGGTATGGGGAGGCGGGGCGAGATGAGATGGCAGGTGCCCGCTCTGGTTGCTTGATGTTGTCAAGTGTTGGGCGGGCGATGGGCGAGGGCGAATGAGTGGAGGATGGGTGGAATGGACAAGCATTGGGAAGAGCGATGTGGGCGGAGTGCTCCAGCAAGTGCTGCTGTTGTTCCGCAGGGTTGCACCTGCAGCGACCAGGTCTATTGGCAGCGGCTGGGCACCATGCCGCTGATGGGCGCTGACTTTGTACCTGCTTGCAGGTACAGCAATGCCGCGTGCTGGGCCAAGTGCAAAGGCAAGCCCGTGTGCCTGGCCTACTTGTGGGATGCAGAGGAGCTGAAGAAAGTGTGGCCAGACTATACAGGTCTGATGCAGCACCTGCCCTGCCTGCTCACCAACCAGTACCATACGCCCACCTACCTGCCAAGCCGCGGTCTCTGTCGTTCTGGCTGTTGCCGGAGCCCTGCGCTCTCATGTTCCCTTGCCATTCCACACACTGTGTCCGCTGGCAAGCTGCAACCATCCCCTGCCTGCTGCTACCACTGCCTTGCAGTCTTCTCGTTTGTGCGCAACCCCTGGGCCCGTGCCGTGTCCAGCTGGCTGCACATCAACAAGCACGGGATGAAGCGGACCTGCCAGGACAGCTTTGCCAAGTTTGCCGAGGTGCCCTCTGCCTATGGCTCCAAGTGCCTGGGCAGCCCCACCTGCTGCCTGCGCCGCTTTGGCTGGATCCTGGAGCACATTGAGCCGCAGTCGCGCTGCCTGTTTGACGCCAATGGACAGCCAGTGGTGGACTTCATTGGCCGGGTGGAGCACATCGACCAGGACATGCAGGTGGGTGCCGGACCGTGAGGTGCATGCATGTGGTGGGTGTTGGAGAGGTGCGCTCCCCTCACGTGTGGGCCAGCCTGTTGGGGTCCTGCAGCTGTCGCCAGCAGCACCGCTGCCTAATGGTCGCAGCTTATGCTGCTCCGCCGTTCATTTGCCCGCCTGCGCCTGCCATGCGCCCTGTGCTGTGCTGCGCCAATGCCGACCCGCAGGCCCTGCTGGAGCTGGTCAACAGCCGGCGGCCGATGGGTGTTCCAGCGCTGGCAGTCAAGTCCATGCCGCACCTGATGGTGGCGGCGGGCTCGGTGGCCAGGTGGGCACTGCCTAGGGGGAGGGCGTATGCTGGGACACGTGGTGTGGGCAGGCGGAGAGCCCAGCTCCACCGTGCAGACTGCGCGAGGCCTTGCAAGGCAATTGCCCCTGCCCTTGCGCACCCAGTGGAAACTGACCCATTGCGATGGCCTAATGCACGCAGCAGCACAGAGGAGGTGAAGCGGCGGCAGTATGCTGAGCTATACATGAACAGTTCAGGTAGGAAGGGCTGGTGAACTGTGCGCGCACATTTTGACTGCTGGCATTGCTGCAGCAGGGTGCTCTACAAGTCGCTGCATGTATGGTTAGCGGCACAAATGGCAACACCTCACCTGCCTCTGGCTGCTGCAGCGCTGGAGGACATCCGCACTTATTTTGGCCAAGACTTTGAGCAGCTTCAGTTCCCAGGCAGGCTAGGCAGTTTAGGCGGAACCGATGGAAGCAAAAGTGCAAAGGCAACAGGCAGAGCAGGAGCAGCAGCAGCAGGCGACGCAGCGGGAGAACTGGCAGACAAGGAGGAAGTTAGGCTGCCCGCCCTTGATGGAGGAACTGCTGCTAGTTCATTGTGACACATGCACCATCGGCCCTGCATATTCCTGCAGGCAGTCCTACACGAAATCTCTACCCTCTGTCTCGGGCTGATGTTGCTGCCGGCATTGAACTGTCGTTGCCACACCCCTGTGCACTCCTGAACTGCTATGTAAGCAACCAGAAGACAGACAGACAACGGAGAACAAAGGGGAGTTGAGCACTGCTTGCAGCATGGCAGCTTGGTGCAAGAGCCTTCGCCAGCCAGGCCAAACCGCGCAAGGCGGTTGCCGGTGAGCTGCCGCCGTGGTTCCTCAAGGCCGCAGCGGAGCAGCTGGCCCCCGTGCTGGCCGCCGTCTACACAGCATGGCGGCGGGTGGGGCAGCTGGCCACCCCTGACGCGCTCAGCATCATCGCACCCATCCTCAAGCCCGGCGGCGACCCCACCAGCTGCAGCAGCCTGCGCGGCATTGCCATCGGCACCATGGCCGCCAAGCTGTACGCCGCCATCCTGGAGCAGCGCATCTCAGACTGGGCAGAGGCCAGCAACTTCAGAGCAGCAGGGCAGTTTGGCTTCAGGCGCCAGCGCGGCACAGCGCAGGCAGCTCTCGTGCTGCGCGCACTCCAGGACCAACACCGCCTGAGAGGCCAGCAGCTGTGGGGCTGCTTCGTCGACTTCAAGCAGGCATACGACCGCGTGCCCAGGGAGCAGCTCTGGCAGAAGCTGGCGGCACGCGGTGTGGACACAGCCTGGCTGGCGGCAGCGCAGGCGCTGTACAGCAACGTCCCCATGTCGGTGCGCACCTCAGCCGGGCTGTCGCCCTGCTTCCAGGCCGTGACAGGCCTGAAGCAGGGCTGCCCCCTCAGCCCCACCCTCTTTGGCCTCTACATCGACGACCTGGAGGAGGAGCTGATGGCGGCGGCGCGGCGTGGCGAGCAGCTCGACCTCCCCAGCTTCCTCGGCAGCGGCGGCGCCGCGGTGCCGCCGCTGCTGTACGCCGACGACATGGTCCTGCTGG